GTATCTCCAGGAGAATATTGATACTTTAGAGAGAGTTCAGAGAAGGGCTACTAAACTGGTTAATGGATTGCAGGATAAAACTTACAAGGAAAGGTTAAAGGATCTTAAAGGGATCCTATAGTGCAAGGAAAACAAAGCTGTTTTCCTGGCCCTATAGGGTTATTAGGCCCCCCCCCCCCTCCCTAGGAACCCACCTCCCGCTGGGCCAAAGGGTTTAAAACCCCTTCAGCCACTTACCATAATCCAGTGCTGGGCTCCCTTGGTGCTGGTGACCTCTTCTCCCCCTGCTGCGTAAGCTCCCGAGTGGCCAGAACCGCGCGTGCATTCAAACCGCCCATAGGAAAGCATTACTCAATGCTTTCCTATGGACGTCCAATGTGAGTTCAATGTGATTTTTACACTGAGAATCGCGGAAGTGGCCTCTAGTGGCTCTCAGGGTGACAGCCACTAGAAGCTGGAATAATCCTGCAATGTAAACATAGCAGTTTCTCTGAAACTGCTATGTTTTCAGCTGCAGGGTTAAAACTAGGGGGACCTGGGACCCAGACCACTTCAGCTCAATGAAGTGGTCTGGGTGCATTTAGTGGTCCTTTAACATGTATAGCTTAGAGGAAAGGCAAAACAGGGGGATATGATAGAAACATTTAAATACATAAAGGGAATCAATACAGTAAAGGAGGAGACTATATTTAAAAGAAGAAAAACTACCACAACAAGAGGACATAGTCTTCAATTAGAGGGGCAAAGGTTTAAAAAATAATATCAGGAAGTATTACTTTACTGAGAGGGTAGTGGATGCGTGCAGCAACCTTCCAGCTGAAGTGGTAGAGGTTAACAAAGTAAAGGAGTTTAAGCATGTGTGGGGTAGACATAAGGCTATCCTAACTATATGATAAGGCCAGAGGCTAATGAAAGTATTTAGAAAATTAGGCAGACTAGATGGGCCGAATGGTTCTTATCTGCCGTCACATTCTATGTTTCTACGTAAAAGAATATGTTATTCACCAAAATGTTAACATTTTGACTTTCAATTATATTTTTGCAATTTCTGATCTGCTCCTTCAGTTAAGATATATTCCTCCTACTGATTTCTGGAAAAGTAAGGTAGTACTTGCTTAAGAATACTGCTAGGAATATCCAGAATGAAGTCCTTGATTCAAGGTCAGGGTAAAGTTGACTTTTGTTTTTTGTATTAAACACTTTTGATAACAATTTCCTGCTTTTGAAGACATCTCAGGTAACCTCCCATATATCTGTTTCATCATACAGTTTCCATTTCCCAGAAGCTGACAGGCCTTCCGGACATCCCTTTCTTGGCGTTCCATTATTGCTGCTGGTGTGATTGACAGAAAGTCAGCAGATACTCTGCCTATGATTGTCACTAGCGTCAATATGTCATCAAAAAGCACAGCTAAACTCCCAGTGGATTTGCATTTGATTGAGTTCGCAAAACAATATTTTTTATCTGACAATATAATACTTATTGAAAGAGAAAGAACAGTACTGCAAGAAATATCTGTAAATAATGCATGTTGTTGCTTCTTTTGTATTTATGTAAGCAAATATGCATTTAAATCAACAGCTATTTTATTTTGGAATTTCAACAAAAACATACAACCCATATTGTTTAGTAGGTGTTCAATAATAACGCCTACAGTTGTTCTACATTTCTGACAATTAAGTGCAGACCATTGACATGGAGATAACACAGGATATTTAGGTACAACAATAGGGTGCAGTAAAATTTTATTAACATGGTTTTTAGATTAGCTGCAATTCAAGATGGAGATTCTTTCCAGGACAGTGTGTGACTGAACTAGCTAGGGATTATAATACTGGTGCAAACTGTAGATGCAGAATAAAACCTCATAAGAGATAAGGTTTCTGAAAAAAAAGAAAAACAGGAAATCAATGTAGCCAGAATGTCGCTAGCAGTAAATTTTGACACAGAGTGCCAGTTCCCAGAAATGCACTAGTTAGTATACTACTTAAGGTAATAACCTTTTCGGATGTCTTGTGACTGAATTAATTTAAATTAAAGCAACAACCACTTTTATTAGTAACATTTATGTTATTGCACAGACTGATTTCTAAATACATTTCCTGCACGCATAAGCAGACTTATTTTTTTAAGTTTGGTGAAAGGTTCATGTGCTGGTATAGGGGAGCAGCATACAATATGGAATGATAAATTACCTATAACAAAACTGAAAGCTCTATTAGGAGCTATAGCAGTTTTACACTTGACAATATTATTTTGCAGGAATATAAAGGATTCTGGGGGATGTATTGAATTTCATGCTGCACGCACATGTTGCCCAGAGTTATTTTATGCATATCCATTATTATGAGTTTGCATGTTGTCTTGGTGTTTGAGTGCTTGGATGTATACACATACAAACATACACTACCACATATATGCATACTTACACATATATACAACACACACTAACAGGTACACACCAATTCATAAACACATTGACACATATACACACATAGATACACACATCGACACATGCACACACCCTGAATAATGTGAACATTGATACATGCAAACACATTCCCATGCACACACTGACATATGTACACACTGAAATATGCACCCACTGACACATATGCACACACTAACATATGCACACCCTGACACACAGATGCATACCCTGGCACATCTATGCACACACACACACACACACACACACACACACACACACACACATGCACAGACACACCTTAACAAACACACACATTGACACATTGGCACATCCAATGACACACAGATAAATAAACGGACATATACACAACCTGATGCACAGGTACAAACACATTGACAACAGATACACACACTGATACATGCACACATACACATACCTTGACACATACACACTGGCGTATACACACACAAACACACCCACATACATGTCACAATTTCTATATTTGCAGCAATTCTCCTGTTAACATACCTTTTGTGTGCAGTAGGTTTTCTTGCTTGGGGTCCTTGCTGCTGACTGAGGTCAATGGGAGTGTGGGGTCTGAGAGAGCTCTTGATCCTTTACACCATGCTGCCTGTGTCATGCCATTTTCTCCCTCCCATGCGGCACTCTCTATGTAGCTGATCGGAAATGACAAGCTCTGACTTCCTCCCAGCTGGCCAATATTACAGGGGCCTGGTCATGCTCTTAAAGGGCCAGAGCGCCTGATTTGGCCCCTGTTCAGCAATACCAATTGTGGCCCTAAGTCCATGGGCCACCCGATGGGGTTGCATCTGCACCGCCGGTAGTTTCCCCACTAAGAGCCATAAAAGATACTGGACCATTTCAGTTTTTACAGCTACAATTTTTATAGATGGATTTGACTGTCCTTTGTCTAATTTTTTGGAAACTGTAGCAGTTTAACTGTTCAAATTACCCCACAAAGGCCTAATGTTTGTGAAAGTCAACACTCCATGGTATTTCATATGGTGAATATTGTCCCTTAATGTTTTGCCATTTTCACAAGTTTTTGTCAGTTGTTTGCGGTTATTTGTTAAATTTATTTATTTTTTGCATTGTTGTATATACATTACACAGGCATTTTGTAAATATTCTATGTGCCACTGTGATCAAGCCTTCCAATTTATGCTCTGCTAACTCTTCTAAGTAAGACAACAAAACAAATGTATGCCTTGGCCACTATCTTGTGAAGTTACAGTGCCATATAAGAGACCTGACTATTTCATTAGAATTCTGATAGATGGGTTGGTTTAACCCATATATCATTTAAGGCATTTTAGTGGTTTGACATTTCAAATTACCACATATAGGCACATTTTTGTGAAAATATAGGGCTGCAGTCTCACAAAGAAATATCAAATTGAAGATGGATCTATGGTGCATTTTGTGTCACTTTTGTGTTATTATAATTATTATTATTATCATTATACAGTACTAATATATCTTGTAGTGTTTTACAGTTATAGAATAGGAATATTTGACAACCAGTAGTTGACATACACAATATTAACAGAGACAAGAGGTAAAGAATGCCCTGCTAAAATAACCTTACAATCAATGAAAAAGGAGTAGACACACAAGTGAAATAACAGCATGTCAGAGAGGAGGAGAGACTGATGTCTAGTAAGTTGTGTGTGGAACAAGCCAACAATGGAAAAGTGACCTGGGCTTTGAAGGCAAGGGAACTGTGAAGAGCAATTGTAATAAAAGAAGACTTCAGAAGACTGAAGAGTAAAGAGTTGCAGTAATTAAGTATGGAAATGATGAGTGTTTTAACAAGTGCCTCTTTAAGTAGTTTTAGTTGCATCATTACAGTTAGAAAAAGGTGTAGTTCACACATGTACATTATTCCATAAATGTATAACATTTGCATTGGATACCAAAGGTACTCTCACATTATATGTTTTGAGGTGCCATTTTTCACCATTTTTTTGTTCAAACTTTGTGGTCTTTACTTTTATTTTATTTTTTGTAAATTCTTTATTTTTCACTTTTGTCATGTTTCAGTTAGGGGTACAGAATGAGAAAAGGGGAGGGGGTACAGTTTCAATATGGCACATTGATGGAATGAAGTTACAAAGGCTTAAATTCTGTCTGTACTGTGGTGAGCTAAATTTTTGGGAAATTCTTCTGTTAGATTGCCGTCGTACATATGAAATCTAGTAAAATACATCTGGTTGAGTACACCTTTAGACATATTGGTTGCTGTGAAGTTCCTCGTGGTAGGTGGGCCAATGTATTGTTCTAATAGTGTTTGTGGTGGTGTTGGAGTTGTGGACTGATGGGTTGGGGAGTGAAGAATTGAGGGGGGTGGTATACTGTACTAATTGTATTCAGTGGCCTTTAGCAATTAGCAATTAGTGTCCCCCTTATTACGGCTTTATGGGCTGCCCATAATGTGCCCGTGGAGATGACCGATTCTTTGTTTATAGTGAAGTCGTTTTTGAGTTCCTGTTGTATGGTTAGTCTGATGTGTGAGTTATGGAGTAAGGTGGGATTCAGTCGCCAGGACTAGGGTCTTGCAGCTTGGGGGACCTCGAGTGTGAGGGAGATATCTGCATGGTCGGACCAGGCGATTGTTCCTATTGAGGTTGCCATGGCGTGGGGTAGTAGTGAGGGGCAAACTAGGAACATGTCGATTCTGGAGTAGGATGAGTGTGGGTGTGAGTAGAAGGCAAAGTCAGGGGTCATCAGAGATAGCTGTATTGCCCAAGCGTGTCCTGGCCAGGATTGTGCAGGTGCGGACTCTATCGTTCCCTGGTTTTGCTGTCTACCGTCTTGGAGGCTCCTTGGTGTGTGTGGTGCTGGCTGGTCAGGTGGGTTGTAAGGTTGTAGGGGTAGTCGTGTGCTTCTGGCATTCATTTTCTGTCTGTTCATCTGTGGGGTGTGTGGTCACAGGATTGTCTGGTACTATGCTGAGCCGATAACTCCAGAGTTCCTTTCATTTGTGTCCTGTCCAGCGCTAGCTTGGGGTGGGTGGTAAATAGGTTGGCAGGGGTGATGTCTTGGTAGCAGGGCCGGACTGGGGATACGAAGCAGCCCTGGAAAAAAAACTATGCCATCCCCATAAGTCATTGTGCTATGTAGGGTTATAAACACCCTACATAGCACAATGACTTATGGGGATGGCATAGATTTTTTATATCTATATATAGGCAATTGAAATAGTTGGCTGCACTCTCGGATTTCCTTAAAACGTAACTTTTAAGTCCACAAGAGGGACTGAAACATTGATCTTTTCTTAAATATTTCAATAAAAGTTATGTTTTAAGGAAATCTGAGAGTGCAGCCAACTATTTCAATTGCCTGGATACTGGAGCCCTGGTGATGCAACCGGTCACACAACTTTGAAGCCTGAGTGCAAGGTACAACAGCTTTTATATATATATATATATATATATGTATATATTATTGATACATTTCTTCTTTCAGTGTAATTAAATTATACAGTAAAGCATACTCACACACAGACAATCTTACTGATGCACACAAATAGGCTCATTGACAGACAATCTCAATGACACACACAGACAAGGTTACTGGCACACACACAAATTTAGTACAGACAAAATCTGATACACACACAAGCTCACTGTCATACACACACACACTCACTACAGACAAGCTCAATGATGCGCACACACTCTCCCTACAGACAAGCTCATTGACACACACATGCTCCCTACAGAAGAGCTCACTAACACACAGATTCACTACAGACAAGCTCACTGACACACACACATGCTCACTGCAGACAAGCTCACTGACAAACATATGGTCACTACAGACAAGCTCATGATCACACTCATGCTTACTACAGACAAGCTCACTGTACACACATGCTCACCACAGACAGGCTCCGACAAACCCATGCTCCTTACAGACAAGCTCACTGATACACATACAAACTCACTAGCAGGCACACACACAAACTCACTAGCAGGCGCACACACACAGAGGCTCCCTCACTAGCAGATGCGCGTGCACACACACACACACAGAAGCTCGCTCGCTCACTCACTAGCAGGTGCACACACACAAAGACATCCATACACACAGAGGCAAACAGTCACTGACACCGAGGCAAACATCCACACATACAGAGACAGGCAGACAGCCACACACATACACAGGCAGACAGTCACACACACACAGTTAAACATAGGCAGACAGTCACACACACAGGCAGACAGTCACACACACAGGCAGTCACACACACACAGGCAGACAGTCACGCACACAGTCACACACAGTCACACACAGTCACACACACATAGGCAGACAGTCACACACACACAGACAGTCACACACACACGCAGACAGTCACACACACACAGACAGTCACACACACACACAGACAGTCACACACACAGGCAGACAGTCACACACAGGCAGTCAGTCACACACAGGCAGACAGTCACACACACACACACACACAGACAGTCACACACACAGGCAGACAGTCACACGCAGGCAGACAGTCACACACACACACACAGAGACAGTCACACACAAGCAGACAGTCACACACAGGCAGACAGTCACACACACAGACAGTCACACACACACAGGCAGACAGTCACACACACACAGACAGTCACACACACACACACACAGGCAGACAGTCAAACACAGGCAGACAGTCACAAACAGACAGTGTCACACACACACAGGCAGACAGACACACAGGCAGACAGTCACACACACACACACACTGTCACACACACACACAGGCAGACAGACACACAGGCAGTCACACACAGACACACTGACCTGCTTCTTACCTCCACATCCCTTGGAGCTCCTGGCCGCTGGTTGTTGGGGAAGCAGGGACTCCTTCCTGCTTCCCATGCTGCATTAGCCAGGGCCCCGCCACATGCTAAGCCCCGCCCGCCACACGATAAGCCCCACCCACTCGCACGCTAAGCTCCGCCCCGCCTCAATATTATAAATTTTTTTTATTATTTTTTTTTTAATGATCCCGGCTGGCCATGTGTGAGCTGTGTTGGCTGCCTTGCTCCCCCTGCTCCCATGGGGCTCTGTGTGGCCGCACAGCTCACACATGGCCGGCCGGGATCACAGGAGCCTGATCAGTTCTGATTAGGGCTGTCAGCCCAGCCCCAGGTGCCGCGGCCCACCAGGAAATTTCCCGGTATCCTGGTGGGCCTGTCCGGCCCTGCTTGGTAGGGGGTTTAAGTTGGGTGAAGTCGGATCCGGGTGACTTTATCCCCGGGAGTTCGAGTAGTGCCATTAGGGGATCTCAGGTGTCCAGGATCCTGGATGACCTGCCTAACTGCGGGTGGCTTCTAGCAGGTGGGATGGGCCATGTGACCATGTTGAGTCCCATCCACCACCCGGTTGAGGGGCTTGGCTATCCTGGCAATGGGTGTGGGGGTTGGGATGGGAGTGTGGTGTTGGGCCTTCTCCCCCTGCGGCTCTCTCAGCGGGGGGACGTAGGGCTCTGGGGGGGGGGTGTGCTAGGATATCTAATGTAACATCAGGGACGTAGGGCCGGAGCTTGTGAGTCCAGGGTAGGTGGAAAGTCTGTGGGAGTCTTTATCGGCCCAGAGGCCTGTTTACCAGTTGTGACAAAAGTGATCTCGCCACTAGTTTTTGGAGGGGCCTGTTTGCCAGCCTCCTGCCCTGTGACTATGGCTCCTGTGGTGAACTTTGGGTTAAAGATACTGTTTGTGACTTTTTGGAAAGTGGCACTTCGAATTACTAAACAACCGCATGAACCAGAGACCACCCTGGAGCTTGTTAACACCTATTAACAACTTGGAACATTTCTCACCACAGTGTTCTAATTGTTCGTCTGGGTGGCCGCAATTCCTATGAACAACCACGAGGTGGCAGGTGGACTTTCATCATCGCTTGCGTTCATTTCTATATAAGGGCACTGTTCAGTTGAATCATTCATCTGAATGAAGGGAACAAGCTCTAGGGTAAGACTGTGGACTCTGTTTGGTAGTTTGTTCATTTGCAAACTACCGAACTAGACCAGCCGCAAGCCCCGATTCTCTGGAAATATTTTTGACTATGGGACCATGCCTGCGGTCGGTCAAATACATGACTTCCATAAAATTTCTGAACCACTGAACTGATCTGGGTGATGGATATGTTGGTCACCCAGATCAGGGCTATCAGGGGATGTAATAATTGTGGGGATTTTATGTGTTTTTGGGGTACTTTGGGGGTTTTGTAATATATGTGTTTTTTCTGCCTTGAGATAATTGGGTTAATACAGTATCTGACTCAATTATCTCACAGGCAGACGGGAGGGATTGTATCTTTTTTATGGGAGTGTCATACATTTAATTACTGTTCTGATTGGTTTGTAAGCTTTGTGTCCCCGTTAGCAACAAGGTCCATGTGGGCATACACTTTGCTTAGGGACTTGCATAAAAGGCCAGTGTGGCACCATTAAAATTGAGTTCCTGCTTACCCTCAACATAGAGTCTCATCTCAAGTGTGGGGGGAAACGGCTGTATCTACCCTGGGGATTGCTATATCTCTATACTCCCAAGGTATTATAATCACTAGCTCTTTTAAGAGCTGTTCCTGCTACGCTCTCTGGAGTAGGAGAGGTCTGCCCACTGGAAGCTGGATCCTGGTCTTGGATTCAGGGTGTGTGGAGGACGGTGAGTTCCCAACCAAGCTGTAACGCTGGACGTGGGGACTATAGTGCTGATGGTGTCGGGTGGAGTGGTTGTAGTCCTCGATGAGCACTAGGAGCATCAGTTGGCGGAGGCACCCGGTTGGGGTGCCAGGCGGTCCGTCACACCAGTCCTTTAGATTTCTCAAATTTGCCAGCTGTGTAGCATCTGAAAGGGCAAACAGGCTCCTTTGGAAGGTTTAGCGGTAGGCCTCTTGAGTCCTTGTTTCAATTCCTTCTGGTGCTGGGTGTAGTTTCATCTTCTTGAGAGGTCGAGGGGACGGTACCCTTCCCGGTTCCTGTGGAAGGGGGTGGGGTTCTGCAGCAGAATGCCCAGGTATTCTGCAAATGGTTCCATTTCTGAAACAGATGTCTGGATATGTGTTTGGTCATCCTTTTTAACAAGAAGCTTAAATGGATGGCCTCATATGTATGTGAGCCCGTGATGTTGAAAGGCAAGCGTTAGCGGTTTGAGGTCTCTCCTCTTTTAAAGCGTCATAGGAGCGAGGTCTTGGAAGAATGTTAGACGGGAGTCTTTATACTTTGGTTGTCGGTCTCTGGCCAGAGTCAGCAATTTCTCTTTCACCAGGAAGTAGTGAAGGTGGGTGATGACATCTCTCGGGGTTGTAATATTGAGGCTTGGAGGATAAAGTGCCCTATGTGCTCTGTCCATTTCCAGGTTTCGTGAGCTCTGGGGCTATGGTTTTGAAGATCTCTCTATGAGTGGGAATGAGCAGTTCCAGCATGACTATTTATGGTAGGCCGTGGATGAGGATATTGTTCCATCTGGACCTGTTATTGACATCCTCCAGGCCTTCTTCAATCACTGACATTCGCTCATGCAGGTAAGAGATGTCCTGGGCCTAAGCTGTGGAGGCAGTGGTGAGTGTGGAGAGCCGGACCTATGCCTGGTAGGTGCGGGAGGCTAGCCCATCCAAGTCCGCTTTGAGGCCTGCAATCTGCTTGCCTATTTCCGCGGCCATGTGGGCTTTGATGTTGGTTGTAGCATCTCATAGCATGTTACGAAGGACCCCTATAGTGAGTGGGCAGAAGGGTCGGGTAGGGTGTTGGTACCCTTGGAGTCTGAGCCCAATTCTTATGTAGCTTGGGAGCATGTAGGCTTCCGTGAGTCGCCTGGTGTGCGGGACAGTGAGGCTACTGATGGGGGGAGTTCTTTCTTTTTTTTCCCACCACCCATCTTCGTGAG